CGAGCATATAAAGACACTAGAATACAATACAATCTAATCTCTCCGGAGATATGAGCCCAAGCTTAAGTACCCAGAAGTCACTTATTAATGTTACGATTTAATATCCCGAAAGTGGGCAGTGCATAAAATATGTACAAAGTATAAAAAGTTACAGAAAATAAAAAAAATACAAGCAGACACACAATTGGCTATGGACTATAAAATAAAAAGGAATACAAAACAGAAATAAAACTTTTATTAAGATTTATCCTGCGACTGAAGCAAGTCAGAGAAAGTTCGCAATCCATCAGTCGATAGAACTAGCTCCGTATGAATCACAATGTCCATACCTCAGGGTCCTCAATTTATGGGAATATGGACATAGGCTGGACATGAGTCCTTGGCCAATCAACCCTGGGGGGTGTTCCCGTACCAGCCCATAGGACGTTCTTGGTGCTGAAATGCCCAAAGTCGATTGGACCAGGAACAGTTTGAATCACCAAGTCAGGGATTGAATTTACGACACCAGCGCATCAGTCTGATTGTGACAGTAGCAATCACTGTTCAGCTGTCGCAATCAGGCGCCACCTAACCATTTCCTGAATTTTTATGGCATTCTACATAGGGCACAAATACGGTTTTTACATGCAGATGTAGCTTACAGAGTGTCCAATCAGAAGGAAGTATTTCATCTCTCTGCAACTAATATTTTAGCTTTTATGAGAGATGAAATCTAAACCTTTTATCTGCATATATACTTTAAAGCTCCCCAGACAGATTGGAGCCCCCTTGGTCTCCTGCAGCCAAATGTCTGGCTTTCTTCTTTTAAACTTCAGGAAGGTGGCAAAGTCTGATTATATATATAGGTTGCAAATCTTATTGGCACTTAGGTGTCACTTCCAGCCTGGAAGCTGCTCTGTCTTTTCAGATGCTAATGGGTGAGCACATGTCTCTGAATACCTATGACTGAATATTTCTTTAATGACAAGGAATGAAACTAAATTTACAATTACATATTGTTACAGATCACATCTCAGTCCTATCACTTGAATCCCACATCTACATTACAAACAGAGTTCCATTTGAACTTCTCTCTAGCCCAGGAATGATCTCTACAACTCCAGCTGTGTTAGGGGACCTGTGATGGGTAACCAGTGCCTTGGAAAGACCTGGGTGGTCGTTAAAATGCAAAGCAGTTTCTAGGGACCAGACTAGTAACTAATACATGGAAGGTCAAGTTACGCTGGGACACCCTGGTGTCAGAATACTTGTACGGGTTAAGGACTCCAGTGCTAAACCTTCAGATGGTCAATGGGATCCTATCATTGGGATGTGGCACCTATTAAAGGATCTTATCTGTAGGACCCAAGCCAGTTTGCAGATCCTGGCGACAGGGCACCCAGCCAGTTTCCAGGCCTTGTCACTAGGGTATCCTGCAGGTTGAAGGACTATGTCCTTAGGAAATTGGGAAAGTGCTCAGACACCGGTGTATGCATCTTCTCCTTTTTGGACTTAACCAGCGCAATGGTCTATCACATGAACATTTATGTTCAAGGTCAAGTGGATCATCTTGGAGGTTGCTCCTTAAGGGGGAACTGTCAGGGTCTTGATAACCTGTTAGTGGCAACGCGAGTCCCAGAGGTGAAGGGTGCGGTTCTGGTGGCCACCAGCAGGTGTCTCCCAGCAGATCTCAGTAATTAGGCTCCACCTGATGCTGGCTGCTGGGAAGGTATATAATCCCTTCCTTAACTTTCATCACTGCCTCAGTATTCTGCCTGTGAGCTGCTTTCCTGCTTGATCCTGTATTCTTTATACGTTACCCTGATTCTGGTTTCCTGAATCCTGTTACCCCATCTCTGCTCCCTTTGTTCCCAAACTCAGTCCTGGTCATGCCCTGTTTATGTGAGCTTCCCTCAATTTGTACGGGATAGTGTATTATTTTTTTATTTATTTCACTTATATAGCGCCGTCAATTTATGCAGCGCTTTATATATATATTGTACATTCACATCAGTCCCTAACCCTCAAGGGGCGTACAATCTAAGGTCCCTAATTTACATTCATACATACACATACTAGGGACAATTTAGACAGGAGCCAATTAACCTACCAGCATGTCTTTGGAAACCCACGCAGGCACAGGGAGAACATGCAAACTCCAGGCAGGTGGTGCCGTGGCTGGGATTTGAACCAATGACCCTAGTACTGCCAGGTGGAAGTGCTAACCATTTAGCCACTGTGCTGCCCATTATAGTTAGGGTTTTTGCTTCACTGTCATATTTATTTTTCAATTTTCCTTTCTTTATGGTCTGTGGGTGCTGGATGGGTGTTGTGTGCATTGATAAACTCTACTTGGTCTGATTCCAGCTTAGGCATAGCCCACTGATCTGGTCATCTCTGCCGTCACTGGATACCTGCAATCAGTATTCCCTACAAGGGCTGTATATGGCAGGTTCTTGACCAATGTACTCTGAATGGCGGGCTGTATATGATACAACTCCTGACCATTACTTTTGACAACTGTACTTGGTATGCTGGGCTGTATGTGGAATACTCCTGACCACTGCACTGTTTCTTGGACTGTAAATTACATATTCCTGATGTCTCAGCTGCTTTCCCCTCTCAGCCCCTTGCTCTATCCCTGCTCTTTGAATGGGCCCCTCCTGCAAATATGAAAGGCATTCCTAAGACAAGCTGGAACCAGCTCTGCCCCCCCCCCCCCCCGGTTGCCTAGGTGACTAGGGGGTCCAACATCAGTTTTAAGAAGCTGATGCCAGAACTCCTGAGGTATTCACCGCTGTGTAGCTGGCAGAAGGAGCCCGGGCTGCGGCTGGGACCTTTTGTAGCCAGGCTCGGCAGAGACTCAAGGCTGCCTTGGACCCCCCTTCTCCCAGCTGGGGAAGGCTGTGTGCTAGACACCGGAGATCCATGAGTACATGCTCTCTGCCTGCTTCACTTGAACTGTTCTTGTGCTGACCTCACACCAACCCCCCTGTTGGATTACTTGCTACAGAGACTCACACCAAACCCCCATGTTGGATTACAATTGCTACAGAGACTCTCCCTTGGCTCTCGGTGTTGGACTTTAAGTGTGTTGGTCCTTCCGTGTCGCCCTGTACTGGCGTATTCCCCCTCCCTACGTACTCCCCTATTCAGTGACTGTCATGTTTGCCTCAATAAAGCTTTGTGCGTTTGCCATCTACTCTGTGTGTTCTGTCCTGCCTACGCTCTGTCACACCTGACCACTGCACTATGTATGCTGGGCTGTATATGACATACTCCTGATCACAGCACTATGTATGCTGGGCTGCATATAACATACTCCTGATCACTGTACTATGTATGCTGGGCTGCATATGACATAACTCTGATCATTTCACTCTGTATGATGGGCTGTATGACATATTCCTGACCACTCCACTATGTATGCTGGGCTGCATATGACATACTCCTGATCACTGCACTATGTATGCTGGGCTGTATATGACATAACCCTGACCACTGCACTATGTATGCTGGGCTGCATATGACATAACCCTGACCACTGCACTATGTATGCTGGGCTGCATATGACATAACCCTGACCACTGCACTATGTATGCTGGGCTGCATATGACATAACCCTGACCACTGCACTATGTATGCTGGGCTGCATATGACATAACCCTGACCACTGCACTATGTATGCTGGGCTGCATATGACATAACTCTGACCACTGCACTATGTATGCTGGGCTGCATATGACATAACTCTGACCACTGCACTATGTATGCTGGGCTGCATATGACATAACCCTGCTAGGCTGCATATGACATAACTCTGATCACTGCACTCTGTATGCTGGGCTGCATATGACATAACCATGACCACTGCACTCTGTATGCTGGGCTGTACATGACATAACCATGACCACTGCACTCTGTATGCTGGGCTGCATATGACAACTCTGACCACTGCACTATGTATGCTGGGCTGCATATGACATAACCCTGCTAGGCTGCATATGACATAACTCTGCTAGGCTGCATATGACATAACTCTGATCACTGCACTCTGTATGCTGGGCTGCATATGACATAACCATGACCACTGCACTCTGTATGCTGGGCTGTACATGACATAACCCTGATCACTGCACTCTGTACGCTGGGCTACATATGACATAACCCTGATCACTGCACTCTGTACGCTGGGCTACATATGACATGACCCTGATCGCTGCACCCTAGGCTATATGGGACTGTTCCTGACCCCTGCACTCTGTACCCTAGGCTAATGGGACATTATCCTGACCCCTGCACTCTGTACCCTAGGTACATATGGCATAACCCTGATCCCTGCACTCTGTACCCTGAAGCTGATGGGACATGGACCTTTGTACTATGGGGCTTTTATAGTATTTTATTTGTTGGACAAGTGTGACCAGCATTTGCCCAGCTGTGATACATTCTGGCCATAATTTGGTTAAAAACATGATTTCCTATGATCACTGGCTCCATCTAGTGGTCATAATTAGGTATTATTCCTGAAATATCTCCATCAGTAAAAAGATATGGCATTATGGTCACTAGATGGGGACAATTATCATAGGAAATCTCTGTATGAAAAAAAATACGTCTGATATTTGTCATGGCTGGGGAAAGGCATTTTTTCAAAATTTTTTTTACAAAATAGACCTCTAAGCCTCTAAATTACAAAATGTACTCAGCCAATGAAAGGTGATGACTCAATTTTTTTCTTCTCCTGCTATCAATGGCCAACCCGGTCCCACACTTCATCCATGTCTTTGGGGACCTCTGATCTCCTTATGAACTGTTTCTTCCATGATGAAGATCAGCCATGGAGTATATCTGAGGTGTATATCAGGGTGTGCTTCTTCCCCACATGAGAGCTGGCATGTCCAGCAACATTCATCTAGAAAAACATTTCCCGCACTCAAGGCACTAATACACCTCTAGGGTGTGTGGGACCCCTGATGTACAGGAAGACAGGACTTCAGTGAGGAACATTTCCCTCACTCAGGACAGGAAAGTGGCTTCTCCACCCGTGTGAGATCTCTGATGTCTGTAAAGAATGGACTTCTGTGAAAAACATTTCCCGCACCCAGGACAAGAATATGGCTTCTCCCCTGTGTGCAGTTTCCGATGATTATAAAGATTGGACTTATCTGAAAAACATTTCCCGCACTCATGACAAAAGTATGGCTTTTCCCCCGTGTGAGACCTTTGATGTTTGACAAGCTTTGGTTTTTGTGCAAAACATTTCCCGCACTCAGAACAAAAATATGGCTTCTCTCCCGTATGCAGTCTCTGATGAATATAAAGACTGGACTTATCTGAAAAACATTTTCCCGCACTCAGAACAGGAATACGGCTTTTCCCCTGTGTGACACCTCTGATGTCTGTAAAGATTGGACTTCACTGAAAAACATTTACCGCACTCAGGACAAGAATAAGGCTTTTCCCCCGTGTGAGATCTCTGATGTGTGACAATTTCTGATTTTTGTACAAAACATTTCTCACATTCAGGGCAGGAATACAGCTTATCACCCGTGTGCAATCTCTGATGTCTGGAATGAGAAGATTTGAATGAAAAACATTTCTTGCACCCAGAACAGGGATATGGTTTTTGCCCTTTGTGCAATCTCTGATGATTATCAAAATTTAGACTTCTCTGAAAAACATTTCCCACATTCAGGACAGGAGTATGGCTTTTCTTCCATGTGAGATCTTCGATGTGTGACAAGTTCTGATTTTTGTGTAAAATATTTCCCACACTCAGAGCAGGAAATTGGCTTCTCCCCCGTGTGAGATTTCTGATGTCTGGACAGATAAGACTTGTTTGAAAAACATTTCCCGCACTCAGGAGAACAGCAATAAGACTGGACTTCGGAAACCCCACACTCAGGGCAAGAATGTGAGAGAACTTTTATGCACATTAAGACTGGACTTAAAACGGAAACA